CCTTGCAGAATTCAACCCGAAATCTTCTATGTTTACTTATGCTATGGTTTGCTAAGTAGAATCGTTGCCTTTTTGAGAATAAATTCTTTATATCTCATTGACAGCCAGAAATAATTTTTTTTTTTCCCCATTTCTACCTTTGTTTTTTATGTAAGTTTAACGCCTTTTTGAGCATTGTTTTGTGAAGGAGTATATGAGCATAGTCTTCAGTTTTGGAGCGGTAATGTCAAGAAGGAATTTTAATAAAGTTTTCCATTAGCGGCTGTCAATGATGTAATAATTGGCTGTGACCGAAACAGGGGTTGTGAGGCGAAACCAAACACGAGAGCCTGCTCGCAAGCTAAACTGACAACAGTTAGAGATGTTTTAGGAGGCGATAGACCGCCCGTAACTGGGATTTATTGAAACTCTTGTGTTAAGTAGAATTTTATTATTCATCTCTCCGCTTTAAAAAATCGTTCCAGCCGCTGTTCTGTAGCTCTAATTGCTATGTGAAAGTAATTAAGACCTAGCCTTGTTAGCGAGTCGCATTTAATCAGCAAAATTATTTCAATCCTCCCTGCATCGCTGCGGCAGCAAACTGACATGATTGCTACAACTGCTGTTAGCACTGTGAAGTTATTCTTGCACGATCGAGGTTACATTAAGTTTAATGGCTTTGGAGAGAACTGTTTACGTAATGTTGTTTACTTTTCCTCTTTTCCAGGTCGAACGATCATTAACGCCGGATCAAGGTTATGGTTGCATCTCAAATCCTGCCGCACAAAGGAATTACCAGTTCTCGTCCTTTAACCCAGACTTTTAACTTGGGTTTAGGGAAAGAGGTTCACAGACTGTATGCACGATGACCTCGTTACTTTCAGCTTAGTTTCGAAGGGGGCGTCTCCCATTTGCTGGGTCCGAAATGAAAGGAGATAAGCCAAGATTTTATTTCCTTAAAAAAAAAAATTATAAAAAATGACGAAAGTTTTTGAATTCGGCATTGATATCCGTTTCAGATGTGATCATCAGATATAATAATTCTTGTTTCCTTTTGATTTTACTTGCGTCTGTAATGTTTGTCTACTCTAAAAAACGATTTTTTCAAGTTTTCTTCATATTCAATAATATTCCCTCGGAGGCCTTTCGTTGATTATCTCCTCTGAGAAGATTATCTTAAGGTTTCATGTTATTCAAAAGAGATTCTCCTGGAGGTAAAAATGGTTCAAAATATCGTGACGGCGATCCGTTTTGATTTTGGTCATTCTTAAATTTTTTGGTTCCTCTATGGCTGGCAAAAGGTTGATTCAGGATGGTGTGTCGTTCAGTCAGAGGCGACTCTCTCAGATTCTGAAAATGGTTCGAAATGTCGTGTGGCTGTAACATTGGGCCGCAACAGCTCATTTTGGTCTATAATTACAATTAAATCATTCCAAACCCTTTTCTGTTTTTTTTCCATGCAGGTTAGTTAAACATGCAGGGCAGTTTCGAATCTTTCGTAACTAATTTTGTTCACTCCAGCTTTAAGGCTTTCTTAGCGACAATTTTTCTAAAGACTGGAGAAATTCACTCGGGGTTTGAACGTGAGCTGAAATCATCAAGTTTAGACGCGACTGCTTTGAAGTATGAATTATTTGAGGCGAGGAAAGTTTTTAGTGGTACGTTTGAATCAACTATCAGTCTTAAAAACATCTTTTTTCTCTGGTCTGAGCAGGTTATCATACTCTTTATTTTCCTTCTATTCAACGATTGATAGCTATGGGTCTGTAGAGGTGCAACGTTGCCGGAATTTCACCGCTCTTTCTTTTATTTCTTCATTTTTATGGACGACTTTCAAAGATACCACGGGCGCGATGAATTTTAATAACAGTTGGAATCTCGTGCAATTAAAAAAAGGAAAATGCATGTATACTTCACGTTGATGTTTTCCTTGACCTTGATATACAACCTAAGTTGTTTTATCACTAATTTTCTTGCCAAGTATGATTAGTTTTTTTTTTTGTTATTGATGTTATTTGTAATTTCAATTAAATCCAACTATTAATATCCTTCATTGTGATGTCAGCTTTTTCCCATCCCATCTCCACAGGAGCAAATATTATTGTTGAACTGTGAATCCTTAAAAAAAAAAACATTGTCCTATTTGGCTAATTTTGCTCTTGTCATAAAAATATCTCTTCAATAAGTTAATCCTAACTCTCGCACAATTATTAATATAAATATCCAGCTGCTTACATCTTTGTGACTTTTATCATGACCAAAATAATTTATGTGGTAAATTCTCATCTGCAACACCGAGCTGTAATTTTCATTGCTGTTAAATTGCTTCGCTGTTGCCACCTGTTTTGATGGCGTCAATAAAATGGCACTTGTCTTTATTAGATGAGTTAGGATAGCGAAATGCAGAATTTTTTTGCGCTATTGATCGGTGTTGCATTCATTTGGCAAGCAGTGTCATACGTTAAACTTAAGTGAACAACAAAACAAAGGTACGTGTTGAAGTTGCACGTGCCAGTTAGTTTATTTACGTTCCCTGACGCCAACCGCAATTAGATTGTTTTGCAAAACAACTATTTGGAACTCGTTGGGTACCTGTAAGCATTAATTTAGAACGTAAATGTAAATAGACACAGTGCCACAAATGTCGTCCATCCAGAAAAGTAGCTTTCTTTTCTTTTGCGTGTGAAATTTCCTAAATATTCCCTGACATGAATGAAAAACACGAGGCTGCAAATTTTGTCCTTTGCGAATTTTCAAGGCAATTACGCCTATTATGTAAGGGGGTTTAATAGCTTTGCGAACCCTTTCTTTACTGATTTCCCAGTGAAGTCAGTTTTGAAAATAATTTTCCATTCATTTCAAGATTGTAGAACTAAAAACCTCGTCATGATTGGGTTTTTCATACAACTGTTGGGATACAATTAATAGGGCCCTCCCGTGAAAAGTTACTGTGTTCAGCTGTCAACAGTACCTGTTGTGTAGGTAAATTATGTTGCCAAATAGAGCTTAGGATACACCCAAAACGTTTTGAAAACCATCAATTATTGACAAGGGCTTTGAGAGAAACTTTCGTAATTAACGTTTGTTTATGTTTGATGGTGCCTAACAGGAGCAGCATGGCGTTTTGCTGCTAATGAATTGGATGAAATGAAATATTTAGTTAATTTAACAAGAACTATTGTTGAACATAGCGGGTTGCTGTGTTCATTTTAAGTTCTTGTCAATTAACTAAGGTTTTGCAGAGTGCGATTCTCGTAACTAGTTAGGCAAAGATTTCAGGTAGATGACTTCGTGAAAACAGAAGACTGTCAGTTGAATTTACAGCCATTTACTTCCTAATAAAATGTTTTCTCACAGGCATCTTGTCATGACTCAGGGAAAAAGGATAAAAATATATAAATACAATCTGGATAGATGACAAGGTCCTTCGGAATACTGAAGTAGCCTTCGAGGTGCCGAACTAATTAAAAAAGTTTCAAAACCAAACTCGATCTGGCGCCAACTATACAAAAAATTCTAATTTAACCATGACGTGGATCTGTAAAGTACTTAAAAGACGAATCCTACAGCATGAAATGTCGAAACAATTCTCCTTTTCCGTAAAATCAAATTCTATGTAAAGGCGCGATGTCGTTCGCACTGTGTTCTGTTAATAAAGCTTGTTTCTGAATGGTTAGACTTGTTTCACAAATTCCATTGATTTTACTGTGTAATTTTCTAGTGCCTATGAGTAACAGCCTCTTCAACGTTCTCCATGATCCTTCCCCTGTGAATTGTTCAGTTGTACAAAATATGCCGTGCCAGGGCTGTGAACAACATCGCCATGAAAATTTTCCAGTTCGGAAAACGCACTTGATGCAACACCGATTACAAAATATCATATGCCCGCTGGCCAAGTTAACATATTTTCCCTAAAAAATTAAAAAAATTGATAAAGATGTTTTAGATTCTGCTGATTCTCAAAATAGAGAGGAGCACTCTGTCCCTGAAAAGCGCCGTTTCGAACCAGCGCCTTCCCTTCAGGTACGAAAAGTAAATATGCGCCCCGGCCGCTAAGTCGAATCATTACATTATGTCGTATTCCAAACTTGAGAGCAGGCGTCCTTCAGCCGTATGGTCTAAAGATGGGTGTGGATGGTGACCTACATGGTGCCAAACGGGGTGTGGTTTCGAAGGGACCAAACAAGGCGTTGGTATCTATTTCTCCTGTCAGCTCCAAACGAATGACAGAGAACAAGCCGCATCCAACGTGCATCATTCCACCTGAATTTTGTGGAAATAATAAGATTCTTTTCTTCGTTAAGACGGGTATGGAGAATGGCATGTTTTAGTGTGCAATAGAGACAAGATTTGGAGAACCAGTTAGCATAACCCTGACCATGAATTCTCCATTCTCTTTTCCCCCCACTGCGACCGGTCATCAGCGAGTGAATACACACAGAGTGGATGGTATTTCCTTTTGGGCGACTCTTTGTTCCTCTTTTCCCCAGGCCTCCTATGTCAGAGCGTGACGTCCAAGCACCAGTCTGGTACCGGATCACCATAACGACAAAGGTCGGAAAACTTGACCTTTTAACCACACAGCTAGCGTTTTTCCCTGTTAATTGCACCACATGACAACCTTCGTTTTGCTACTTTTGGTTTAGCTACTTTTCATTTAGCTACTTTTTATCCTTCAAACATACTGTCAGAGTTGTGGCAATCTGTTAAATTAATTGTTAGAAAAATTGCACCTTCACCCTGTCAACTCTGCCATAGTTAACCCACTCCAAAATCACTTCCTCCCCTTCAGTTCATGGCGTAAGACCCATTGGTAGTCTGTCAAGACTATTGCATGTTAATATACATTCATAGAGTAAAATTTTATCATTTATTTTATTCATGCCATTATATATTTTTGCTCATTATGCTGCCAAGGATCCATAACTAACAACTGAACGGCCAGCCAATCTCTGTACCAGTTTCCAAAAATTCTTACACATGATAGAATAGCTAATAGGCATCTGTTTGAAAAAACTTCTTCTTTTCCTGAAAAGCTCATTCTTTCAACAGAGGATTTCCTTCACACATCACTTCTTGGTAAGTAAGCTGCAGATGATCTATAAATCAGAAAATGGCGATAAATGAAAACTGCAGTCTACTAAAACACAAGTTCATTCCCTAATTGGTAATACTATCACAATGAGATTCTCATCAACTTCTCAATGGTTGATACAAATCTTGCCTTCTTAATTAAGAGAAACAACAGACAAATGGAAGGACTGACCAAGTTCCTAAAAGTACTTGTATGCTTAGAATTAAGAAAGATGACAAACTTTGGTCTCCTGCATGGCAAAAAGTAAATTGTGTGGCTTCTATGAGGATTCCCTCTGGGGTGAAACCTAACAAGTTTCAAGTTTTATACACTCTTATTAAATCAGTGGTCTGATCATCTCATTGAAAACAGTCCTGCAAAAAAAACTGAGTGGTGGTCACTGACATTTTGACATTTCGACATCATCACCAGAGTCAAGAAGCTTATCCAGCCTAGCTTACCCCTGTTTTTGAAGCACGAATCAACAATATGTAGGTAGTGCTACAAACCCTAGAAGAGATGCCAGTCTATGCCAACCCCTCCTCTCCCCTCCACCCCTGCAGTTCTCTGGTACCCATTCACACTCCCAGTACAGGAGAAGTACAGAGAAAAAAGTTTTTTGCCCAAGAACAAAACACAATGAGTATGCAGGGTCTCAAAACCAGATCTGTGGACCAAGAGTCCAGAGTGCATTAACTATTAAGCCACTTCCTGTCTGTTTAATTAATAATCAAGCTTGATATCTACTTTCTCTATGACTCTAGGTAAAAACAGAGATATCAAAATTGTGCATGTATCATCAGATAATAAGCGGAAAAAACTTCATTAGCACCCTTAACAAAGGGCTCAAGATTTGGTTATTTTCATCACTTGATACATGAACCACAAGAATCAAGGAATAATTATATCTTGTTTCCCTATGACAGTTTTGGAGCCTGTAACCAGACAACAGACAGTACATGTCATTATGCACGCAGCACATAAAGGCTAAAATTTTTTTCCACTGAGTAAACCTTTCTGGCCTCAGGTTTCTTTTGCTCTCTTACCTTACCTGGTTCAAATCATTGTCAAATGCCTTTATAACCTTGCAGCCTTGACCTTTGCTTGTTTGACCCTGTCAGCCAGGGTCTTCTAATTTCTCTTGATAACTTGTCCTCTACATCAGTTATTTGTTAGGTCTCCTCAGATATTTCTTGGCTTCTGGGCATGAGTGGAATAACACACAGAAGGAAAAGTAGAAACATTGAAAGCTATTTTAAACAAAACAACCACTTCATATAAGATTTATATAATTATCTGCCAGCCATTTTGGTGAAAACCCAGACGTGTTGGCAGGTATGATTAAAATGCTTCCTCCCTGGCCCTCATACTGATGTTGTCACCAAAGTAATTTCTGAGTGGTGCATGAACTTCTAATCATAAGGCCAGATTAAATTCACTCTTCAACCTTTTAACCCTTTAACTCCCATGATCTGATTGTTAAGTTTCCCGTCCAGCTTTTAGACAATTCCTGGCAAATAAGTTAGGCGAATTTGGTATTAGATTGAGATAATAACTTCTACCTAATAGGTTTGGGTATTCTCATTTGCCCTTTGCTTGATAATGTATAGATATTATAGAGAGAAGTTTCATGTTAATCACTTCTAGGAGTTAAAAGTTTAACTCTCAAAAGTGATTAACATGTTACTTCTCCCCAGAATATCCATATATTGCACACTAATGAGAATACTCAAACTTATTTGGTAGGAGTTGTTATCTTGATCTACTGTAATACCATATTCTTGAGAATAATTTACATGGAAACATGTAGTGGCTAGATGGGAATTTGAGAATCAAATCTTAAAAGTTAAAGGGTAAACAGAAGCCCATTATGTAGCAAACAACAAGTTACTCCTGGTCAAAATTATCCCTGACAGTTACGCCAAAGCATTAATAGACAAAAGCAGATGGGAATTTTCAGCTATAAATGCATAGCCACGATGAACCAAAGCAAAATTCTTGATTCAAGAAAAAATTCAACTGTCTGCTTGGGAAGACAAATTCTTGTCTTGGAAAAACATCTTAAATTTATGACAGACATCCAAATCTGAGAAAAAAAATGTTGCAAAAGATCTCTGCCTCTTTTTTCCCCATGGTGGCTTTCCATGTTCATGCTTGCATCCAGGTAAGAAAAATATGCAATGCATAATGAGAAATAATTCCTTCAAACACTTCAAAAGGAGAATGTATCGGATCAATATCAGTATCTGGGCAACTGCCCACCTACCCCTCCCCTAACTCAACAACAGTCAATTGACAACAAGTTAAGGTTAATGTTGGGTTAGGGGAGGGGTAGGTGGGCAGTTGCCCAGATACTGATATTGATCCAATGTATCTTTCATGGACAAATCAATGGTTGTCATGTTACATACCAAGTGTTATCCTCCACTCAAATCCTTGATGCACAGTGCACCTGTATTAAGATAACAATAGTGAAGATCAAATAGAAGCTAATATCATGCTGTAACTACATAAATTACTGCTGTGCACCATCAGTAAAAAATTAGAGTGTTTGACATAGTTTTCACGGTTTGTCAATGTAGCGATTCAAACTCATCACTTGGTGCAAAATTTCATTTTAATTCAAAGTAATAAACGGGATCACAAAGAAAAAAATTGATTTTAGCTAAGAATTAGAAGTTCCACTACCAAAAGAACTAGCCACAGTTAAATACAATTTATGAGTTTTGATTGATCTACAGACCATGGCATCAAAGCTCATGTAGCATAGGCGAAAGTTCCAGCCTTATTTGTAGGATAAATAAAGCATTTTTCACCACCTTTATAGCATATTTCAAGACATCTCTATGGGTTTCACTGATACACATAGTTTTCCACCAGTACCTGTTAGTTAAGTATGAAACAGGTAGAGCTAACTTGTTGATACAACCACTGTTTAGTATTTCCTGTCTCTTTGAGCATATGCTCATGTGTTTTATTAGATATCCAATGTATTACTTAATAGAAATCTGCAAACCAAGGGGAAAGCTTCCAGTGAAGGCTTTACTAATCCTTTAACCCCTAAGAGTGATAGGCACCTAACTTCTCTCAACAGTATCACTCCTGAATCAAACATTAATGTCATGAGAATGAAGGGAATGATCACAAACCCAAGAAGCTCATGACCATTAGACAAATTGTCCCATTAAATACCAAAGGAAAACTAAAGGGAGCAGAAGGAAAAGCTTACACTTTAATATAACGGTATAACAGCTACTTTAAAAATTTAAAATGAGTCTCCAAGCTTTTCGTCGATCACAGCATCACAGAGGACAAAAGGATTGCAGAGGGATAGCATTTATGCCAATACACATGCACACAAGAAACTTGCTACAAGCACATCAAAGGAAGAACAAACTAATAGCAAACTGTTCTGTAATGTGTAGATAAATTTTTCACCGGATCTCGACACAAAATATAAAATTTTCAACTCATTTGGCTCCCACCATCACGTAACCACATGGATTTTGCGGGATGTCCCGAATACACGTGGAATACCCTGAGAAATTAGAGAAATGAACACGAGGCATTCGCTCCAAATAACACTAAATCTAGAACTCACACGAGAACAAATCATCTCATTGTTTGATTTAAAATTAAGTGTGCCTCAGCCAAGAGTGAATTAACATCTTCAATTGATTCAAAAGGTCATTTAAGAACTCCTTCAAGTCCTTTGCGGATTTCAAGGCATTTGAAAGTGTCCCAAACGATCTCTTTTATAAAAAAAAATTAGACCTGTTTAACGAAAGAAATATTCGATAGTCAAACCTTGCATGCTGCTCAATATGGTCCACGTTTAACTCACACAACGCCAGAAAAGGACGGAACATAACGGAACATAGCTTTCACTGGGTCTCCAACGCACATGGCCACCGAACTCGTGCTTGCTATTATGGGCGAGGAAGACTGGCTACGAGTTCATTAGGATGTGGGTCGGTGGAGTGGGTCAAAGATAAAAAAATTTCTGGGAGTGGGGGTGGGGATTTTATTTATAAGGAGTCGATGTAATTTCTGAAAAATATCATCACTGAGCGTCTTTTCAATAGAAGTGACTGCTTATAAGAGGTAAAAATAACAGTGATTAAAAGGAAACAAATTCAGGACTTTGACAACAGATCACTCAATACAGGTTGACCATTTGATGTGGTGCTGCTGAATACTAGTTCAGCTGTAAGCAAGACTTGGATGATTTGGTCACAAATTGTTGTTTTAATTTTAGTATGAGGTGATATTTACTGACATACAACTTTTGAAATATCAGGCTATTTCTGGCAGTTCTTTCCATATTCATGATACAACAGAAGTATGTGCTGTTTCACCTTAAACCTTCAATTGATTTCTAAAAAAAACTTTATTATCATAGACTAATGAGCACATAAAACATCAAGTTAGTGATTTATCATTAATAAGTGGAAGCAAGGTCAATAAAGGTTAAAATTATCTTTATTCATCTTCATTTTGGCCCTGACAAGGGGCTGACAAGAAACATCCGCCTTTCAAAATTTATTACAATAGTTCATTTTAGAATAATAATAATTAATAAAAAATTTGTGTTCAAAATTAGCTGAGTTTATGTATCACCTCTTCTGTCAATTTGAAAGAAACAGGGATGATTACCTTACACTGAGATCTTACTCCTTTATAGCACATAATGATGAAGATGATGATTTACCACTAGAGTTTCATACTCCTGAAAAATACATCCTATATACATTAGAGTCATTAACTGATTTGGACATAGTTGAATTACAATACAACAGCCTCTGTACAGCTGCATAAACCACATGCAGTCCATATCATATTATTTATTATTTCATATTATCTTTATTTGGAGGCATCAAAGAAAATCACTGACTCATCTCCAACCACAGAGGCATTGTGAACAGTACCAGCTGGTACAACAATCATGTCTCCAGGCTGTAAAATTACTTCTTGGCCACACATGGCAAACCTGAATTGTCCAGAGACAATGGAGTCTTTTTTGGACATTGCGTGAGTATGATCGGGAAAGTCAGTACCAGGAGCAAAAACATATTTTGTAAATGAATACCCCTGTGACTTGAGCTTGTTTCCCATATTTCTCTCATTCAATGGACCATATCTTCTGCTGTCCCAATGTTCCACATTCAACTGTGACATGTCAGTGGAATGGTGAACCTATGAAGTAATAGTAATTATATAATAAACTGAATTGTGCAAGTATTTTGAGGACAAGCACAAAGATGATATCATCACTGAAGACTGTTTGCTTCTTAATTGTAAAAAACAAATAGGATCCCATGTTGCTGAGGGTCTGTACAGTAACAGATCACAGAAGATGTCTATGCCTCCTGTGCCACTTCTGTGTTCTTACCACATTTTGACGTCATCTGTGATCTATTGCTGAACAGATGCACATATGCATAATAGGGAATCTATTTGTGCATCAGAATATATTAAATTTACATGCACACAAAGAATACCATACAACTTTTTCTTGGCTATTTAGCAAGATGATTTTTTTTCTCTCATCAACAACAAAGAATGCAAATTCCGTCAGTCATGCTTGAAGTGCTCTTAATTTGTTGAAATCAAAAATTAAGCGAAGTCAGCCTATGAACTGTAATGAGGAGCTAAAACTCTCAACGTCACTTTACTATTTATTAAGAGCACTTCACCTCCATTAAACAACTATCAGTGAAAAACCAGTCAGTTGTTTAAAGCTCAGGCGTGAACTTCTGCTGGCAATAACCCAAACCAGTTTAGAACGAATGAATACAAACCAATGGAGAGCACTACAAAGTACAGGTCGAGTTCCTCGCTGATTCATTCAAAGCCGCTCAGTTTAGGAGCGACGGGGAAAAGAAACCTCATTAGCGTTCTGTACCTTCAACATGCAAATGAAAAGGGGGGGGGGGGAATTGAACTCTTCCCCAGGAGACTATTCCGATGAATGATCTGCGTCAAAAGTAGCATTATTACAAATTCTTATAGCTTACCTGTAATCGTGAATTTCGAGTATATCCCACAATTTCGCACGACCCCATCCATACACGAAGGCTTGGTTCCAAAGCTACGGTGAAAAGGTTATTGAGTCTAAAACGGGTTGGGGGACGGGGAATGGTAAGGATGACGGGATGATCAGTTTGTTGAGCAAGTATTGAGTATTGGGAATTCTTTTAGGAAAGCATTACCCCTGCAAATCGACAAGGTCAGCGGAAGATGCTGAACAGACCTGTTGTTGCGATCGTAGATGAACCGCAATCTTATCTGATTCATCGTTCGCAAAGTATCTTTTCAGACTGTGAAAACTATGTACGTAATCGATGGCCCTGTTTTTATACTTAATAACGCCGACGCCTTCTTTTGTAATAATGTTTTACTCTGCAACAAGAGTTTATAATCTTTTGTCTGCACATGATATAGTGCAAATAAGGAAATGTGCAAATTGAGGATCTGATACCGATGAAGAGATTAATTTTTTTTGCTAAAGAAAATTGTGAGTGGATTTGTGTTTTGTTTCGCCCTTTTTGCTTAATTTTGTGAAAAATGCAGATAATCTATCCAATACATAAAATGTTGTTGTCTTCAAGGATTGAATGTACTCAGTTGTGGATTCTCCCATAGCAGTGGAGAACAATTGCAAGTCGACATGATATGAGGAAACCTCTCTGCGCTGCCATGTTCTCAATGGTCAGCCAATCTTACGATGAGTGTCTTAATGGGGTGGTGTCTTTTACGGCTAACAATCAAATTTGGCTATTTTACGGCTAACGGTTCATATCATTCCATTGTTGTCACCAGAAATTCATTTCAAGGTTAACCTTTTTACGACTAACAGTTAAAATTTTTCAATTTTTACGGCAAACGGCTAAACTGTTTGGCCGTTTTATGGCTAGCGGTTAACCCCTCTGAGACCCTCTAACATGGCTTTGGGCGACCTTTACACCAATTCAAATTCCATGATGATTTTTCACTTCCAAAATGTTCGTCGCACACTTGTGAATCCCTCCTCCACCTCCCCCCTCCAACTTCCCTTACCATTTCTTTCTGGACGCCATCACTAAAAAACACACAATTCATTTTCATTTTTTTTATAACATCATTTATCTAACTTTTCTTTTAACTGTCTATGATTGCAGTACGATCAATTTAAGTCTTACTTTAATCAAAAGTGTGATCGGTTCTCTTAAAATGAGCAGTTTCTCAGGATGATAACTTTTATACTACATACATGTACCCACCAGAGGCCTTACAGAAATTAAGTTTAGCATATTCAAGATTTACTGAACAAATATGTAGCCAAATGCCTTAATAGATACTTCGTTGTGTAGCTCGTTTCCACACGAATTCGAATCGTCCATGAAGTAAAAACTTCCTGCGGAACCAAACCCAATTCTGCTCACCATTGTTTGATTACATCTATCTGGAGAGCCAATAATTCCAATACGAGTCTTAGCACCGGTACCGTGGTCAAAACCCTTGTTAATGCTATTAAAACCCTGCATCTGGCAACCGTCCTAAGGAGAAAAAACATCAAAACGTACTGTTGTTTCAGAAAAGGACGATGCAAACAAACCTTTGATCGTTAAATACATGTACACACATAACATATGACCTGAACAACCAAACATATACGGCTAAGTTACATAACATTACGGAACGTAAAGTAATAATACTGAATACCACACAAATAAGTGGTATAATCAACTAAGTCCGTGTTTTATCTACGCATACTGATTTGGAGTAACGAGGAGTATTAGCAACGCTGCTGTTATCATATGCATGTGATAGGCTGTTCAAGTAAATCCATCCTAATTACATTATACATTAAACCCACAATGAGGGTCGAAATAAGTTGAAGGTTTCTATTTATGTGCAAAGTAACACTCCTGTTTCGACCACACTTTAAATCACTAATAAGACCCCTCCCCTCCTTCCTCGTTCAATGTTTCCTGTATGTAGCGAAAGGTTTATGGAATCACGTTACAACATTGTTTAAGCGAGAAGGGGGCGAATGGGTTGACTTAAGAAGGGCAAAAGAGTTAAAATTGAAGTGATAGGGGGTTGCAAAGGTTAATGTGTCAACAGTTTTTTCGACAATTGTAGATGTAAGTCAGTAATAGATTCTCCTGATTTCAGATGGTAAATGCAAGAGCAAATCCTTTTATCATGTACACCTCTACCACTGACTTGTCGCTAATTAGAAGAACGTTTCTTGTTTACAAATGATTCTTTTTTTTTTCCTCAAGGACCAGCGGGGAGGGATTACTCTTAATTAAACTTTGTGTTACTGACTTAGCATAGGGAATTCGACATAAAGGCTTTTCACCTGAATTCCTGAGTTATTCAGAAGCTTTTTCCATTCTGTTACACTCAGATTTGTTGGTCGGAATGTTCCGTCGCCTATCACATCCCTCAGAGATGAGGCAGAGTAGTTCAAAGCAATCCAGTTTGTTACGCCGTTGGCAGGGTGTTTCATGCCCAGACACAGTCGAGTGAAAGGTGTCGACCAAAAGCTGCTCAGTTTAGTTTCGTCTTCATTAAGGCTTGTTCCAGCAGACTCGTTGTAAGCAACAGTGTTATTCCAATATTCCGCGTAGTACGTAAAGGTTTGCTGTCGATGAAGAATATGATTAAAGACGTTCTTATGATCACATATTTATTGAATATCGAAAATGACCACTGCGATTAAATATATTATTTTGATTCTAATTCAATTGCAACATTTAGTTATTCCTATCATATCTCACAAATAAATGTCGTTCAACATATCATCGGAAGCTGAAGTCATTTACAAATTGCTTTTTTTTCCTCGTCTCTCCAACATGGCGCACAATTTAACTATTGTTTGGTTGATTTTTTCAACAGGTAAAGGCTTAAGAAAAATAACCAGGTGCTATTCACGAACAAGAAACAGACACCGAGTCTTAACTGATTCGTTCGCAATTTTCCTTCTTTTTATCTTCCTGTTCATTGTTTGAGACGAATAGATTATATTTTCCCGACGTCCTCTGGTTAAAAATCACAGAGGACACCAAAATTTGGTTACAAAAACATTGATAGACCCGCGTGCCCACGGCTCGCTTTCCACGTTTTTATTCTTCGCACATCTTGACGTTATCTACGATCTATATCCAAACAGACACACAACGAAACATAATAAAGTCGTTACAAAAGAAAATATGGGGACAGAGAGGGAAAATCAGGGCGTTGCACCGTTTTCTTTTAGTTGTTAAGAGTAACATTGATGACATACCTTTGTTCGTTGAAAACACACTGCAGTGAACGTAAAGTTAATCGTTTCCGGGGTTTCAGGCACTTTTTAACACCTTGAACACCAGGTCCTTAGATCTAGCGCTTACGGATTCATCGATTCCTAAAAAATCTCAGCTATCAACTGCGCAAAAGTTAACCCCAAAATACCTTGTGTCCATCAATTTTCATGACAAGTGTCCATCCGCCATCCCCACATCCGGGAATAGGAGTCATATGACAAAATACGGATGCTATCTTGGCAGACGAGTTTACCCGGATGCGGTAAGGACCGTCAAGACGGATTCTGAATTAAAAGGAATGGATGTAAATGAGTCTTAAGCTGAAGGTGCATTTAAAGGGTTTTGTCAAATTATTTACCCAGATTCAGGAATGTCATGCGTCCTCTAACCCTAGTCCCTCAAGTGCGCCAATGGGGGAATGGGTTTTGTGCGAGAAGACCGCTGACTTTTCAGACTGATAAATTTCCCGATCGCGGCGGGTTGATAAAAAAATCCGTACCTTTTGTTCGTCCATATCTCCTTACAGGAAAGAGGAATTCGGCCTGAAATGAAAGAATTAAAGACGAACTTGACAAATAAGGAATGACTAAGCGCATGCAAGAAGTGAAAAAAAAGTGCCTCTAGACTAAAAATCACTTTATTCAGTTTCTTTAGTGTTTTACCTGAGATGGCCATGTCACAATAATCCAATACAGCGTTTCCTTTGCCACTTTCATCCAGCCAGTACATGTTACTGACGGTGTCTTTACCCTCACTCAATTTTATTTCCTGACATGACTGCGCTGGTAGTTCTGGAATGGAGCCCAAGGGAACTGTAAAGCAATATATATCCGAATTACCCTCGTGGAGTGCAAAGCAGTGCGATTGAGGCTCAGTAAAGAGCCCTCGAATCATTCAGCATTACCAGTACTTACTACAGAAATGGTTCGTCCAATCGTCAAACTGTGCATTCTTTACGATGGCTGGTGCGAGGACATTCCTGTCTTAAAAGTTATCTTAGGAGCTAACGAACTGAAAGTAACACTCACCCTTAAAAAAAAAAAACAATTCCAAAGCTAAACCAACTCACACGGGTAAATTTACTTTCACTCCCTGATAGCCTTAGGGCAACCCCGGGTTGCTTTTCGATCTTGATTAAATCACTGCGATAGGTAACCCTTTTGCAGTCAAATTTTTGTAAGTGTTTTTAGGGTGAACGTAGTCAAAGGGGCCAGTCCTCTCTATTAAGTAATCTTTGTCGAGAGCCGGGTCGTTCCGGCTAGAAGGAGTTATATGTCCTCAACTTTTTTTTTATTTAAGCACTAACACGGTTGGCACTTTCACCCACGTAACCTTTTCTGCCTCATTTTCTATACTGTTTTAGATTCTATACATGATAGCCTTCCACAATTCCATCATACTCGGTGTGTATTTGTTACCTTACCTCAAGAGATATTGATATTCTCTTGCTGATTTCGAACTTTGTCAGGCTTTTTCGTAGGTAGAGAGTCTGACCTGGGTCAATCTCGAAGCGAACCGCATGCTAGTGAACACTGTTACAAATAAACCTGGGCTCGTGTAAAGAAGCTCTTAGTTGTTCAGAATACTTTTACAAACATGACTTTTAAAGGTCTTATTTTCTGTACGTTTCCGTCACCCTCAATTATTCGGAGACCGAGAAATTATTCGACAGTGCTGACATCCAAGTAAATATACCTACCTCGGCCATTTAAACGTCGGATGTAAAACCATGCAGGAGCTGAGATGAAGTTTTCTGGTCTTGCTTCCTTGGTGCGGTTATTTAACTCGCAAATCTTGTTTTCTTTGTTGTAGTTGTAGCTTTGACAGGTAATTTCCTGTTCGCATTTGACATCACACAGGTAAGGGGCTGTTGTTAACAATATTTTAAAGGTGAAACCCTTTAGAGCCCTGCCTTGTATGTTAACTTCTGTTCTCCATTGGTCTTTGGCAGCCGCGAGGCTCAAAACGAGAACGACAAAGACAAGGATAGAAGAACCCGTATACTGCACTTCACCTGCCTGCTAAAATTAGAGAATATGTTAACTTTAGGATGCAAGCCAAAAGAGATGAAACAAGTTTTTGTGAGAATTGAGCCGGGGCATACAGCAATCTTGGGCTCATTGTTGCACCAAAAAAATGTCTGCAACTGTGGCGCAGTCTCATGCGCCCTTTTTCACCTGCTGGTTGCGAAGAGAAATATCAGTATTTTGAAATTATTTCTGACCACAGTATCAGTATCAAGTGTTTCAGGTTTAGATAAGACTACCTCTATCAGTTCCTTGAATATCTAAAATAAGAGCATATACCATAAAATTCTTACTCATTGACGGCGCGAGATGAAGGGTATTGATAAAATTAATTTCGACATATAGCGCAGGGCTCCTCTTTAAACATTATAATTACCTTACAAAAATACGACATCGTATTTACGGTTGAATACAGCACCAAAATCCTCTCAAGGAAACTTTGCCTCGTAAAGTTTGACGCACCGACGAAATCTAACTATGCGCACTGTGGAGCTGAAGAAAAAATAAGGACGTGTTGGTTTTAGCTTAGCTTTTTGAGGGTCTCAATGGGGTTAACCGTCAGTCGTAAAATGACCAACACATTCTTAGCCATCGGGCGGAACAAATTTCAACCGTAAGTCGCAAAATTGTCTTCTACTCACAAAGGAAGGAAGTTGACCGTTAGCCGTTAAATGGCCAAAATTTTTAACCGTTAGCCATAAAGTGACTTTATCCCCATTGAGACCTTCTTATTAGAGCAGCTACGCGAATTTGAAATGAGTTTGCTATAAAACATGTTTAAGAATCTCTCTTACCTCCGAAGACGAACACTGCAACTTCCCGTTCTTCCACTACAGGTGTTCGCAATGGCCTGAAGTCGAATAAAGTTTTGACGAGCCAATAGCATTCAGTGACGCTTTGCAGGTATGATTACGTTTAATTTAATTTGAAAAAAAACGACAAAACTTTTAAGTTTGTAAAACATGTTTCGACAGAACTTCTGTCATCTTCAGTTAATTAATGTACAAAGTGTCGGAAGTTGAATTATAAATGAATTTACAAAGGCCAGAACCCACAAAATTTCATTAAAAAATCAACTTTATATGGAAAAATACACATTCCAGAGCCAGAATTTACGAAAAAAAGATTTTATGTGGCATTGGATAAACCAAAATGTGGATGATTTTCTTGAATATCTGCAAAGTTTGAGGGCTATCCTGTAGGAGAAAACATGAAATTCGTCTTGTTAAACAAACAGACATCATACGCAATTGCTACTGAGCTATCGTCAAGATGCAAATATTGGAATCATTATTAAGGCTGGTACTGAATGACAACGTGTCCAGCATTAAATAATTAGTTATAATTTTCAAATATCAAATCCAAACTGAAAGACATATAGCGGACTGTGGCTGTCGCAACAGCTATTTTGAATGGAAATTTTCATATATCAACGGAGACTGAAGAACTCCAGCGATTATTAGGCACAGGACAGGTGCTCCCTTATATTGGGAAGCTTTCTGTACATGTGAACTTGTACTTTTATCTTCTGTGTCAAACATAATGCTTAACAAGTGTTCAAATCACATGAAAAATTGGGGAGAAAGGCGATAGAAAAAAATTGAGGTGAGTGCTAAAAGTGCCCCTAACCTGAAGTGCAAGCGTCTTATTTGGGCGGGTTAACGTTAAGAAGTGCACGATCGTTTATTTAACCAGCCATGTTTTTTTTCGAGTTAGAGTCGACTGTCGCTCACCTCCTTGGTACAAATTACTTCACTCCCCAGCCTTCCGCTGCCATTAAATTCAAAGATGGCGGCCATAATTTTCGCTAAGAAAATACTTTTGGTTTTATCTGCCACAAATTACGTTTGAAAATGTCTGTGCTTGTAAGATATTATGTTACTTTGTATTTGACATTTCACAAATTGATAAAGAAATGCGTAAAGCAAGGATTAGATAATAATGAATAGATAAAACTTTGTATTGGATGAAGTTATTGTTGTTGCCCTTAAAAGTTAAAATCGACTGAAGGATCCTCCCTCAATGTTGATCATTTTATTACTGTGAACACCGAACGGAAATACTTGCCTGTTTGGGAAACGAAAACTCTTATTAGCGTGATTAAAAAATGACCACTTTTGTAACGGCAAACAATGATTAAATGGCGATCTTCACATATCTTCCTCTACATCTCTGATTTGAAAAGTGAATTTCTTACACGTAAAATTCAGTCATAGAAAAATAATTTTAGCTTGTGATACAAAGTTGAAAATTTTGATAAATAAATTTATTAAGACTTAAAAGTTTTTCACTGAAATCACCCCCTGCAGAGAATGAAGACTCGTGTGATTACTGAAAGAACAATATAATGGAAGTGCTCTTTTTAACTGAGAGGATACCCCTCAGGCAAAAAGGCAGAGGAAGACACCAGTGTTATTTTAAAATCATCGGTGATCAACATAATGCTTAATGATCATTCGAAAAAATAAACTGAAGTGCACATGGAAGAGAAGCATTGATTATTAATTCTTTTCTGGCTTACAATCTCTAAATTCTTTGCCTGACAAATAAACATCGTAAACATATTTTCTACGTTGATTTATTTGACAAATACTAAAAATGTTACACTGGGATTCACTGGAAAATGTATCAACCATTTCTCAAGTATAATACGCTTTGTCTTTGATTCATATAGAAACTTAGCTTTAAGTTAAAAGTACTCGGACAAAACAAAAGGCAAGACCTGAAGAATGCATTACTTAAGAAGCACAAATAGGTCTCGTTATTCGGTTAACATAAATTTGGTTTCTGTATTTACATAATCTAACTTCAGCTGTGGGGGACTGGAATTAGGTCTTGATGATCTTTTCTGTGTCAGTGGAATCAAAGGGTCTGCTTTGTTATTTCCGGTTTCTTTTTTCTTCTTTGTTCAACTTCCAGTACTTTGTGGAACAGCACACAGCTAAAACGCGTCGAAAGTCCGGAATTCTCAATTCATAAACGATGGGATTTACAAACGAGTTAGAAAAATTGAGAAAATTGACAATCATTGCATGTCTCCATGGTTTCGAAACACCGAGCCCCCTTAAACCATTCGAAATAACAAAAGGAAGCCAACAAAACAAGGCAAGGTTAGAAACAAACAGTAAAGTTCTTGTTATGCGTTCATTTCGCGAGGTTCTATTCTGGTGTTGTGATGAGACGCTTCCCTGTTTAAGCTTTCTCCAAACTGCGATGTTACAACCGCAAATAGTAAACAGCAGGATAACCGCGAATGGCATTCCTACGTAAGTGCATTCTTGGCCGGGAATCAAGAACACCAAGCTGGAGAAAGGCAAGGCTAACATCCAAACTGTAGAGATCACAACACAGTAATTTCGTACCGTTAAAGGGCTGCAGAAGAATAGGGAATCTATTTGTGCAACAGAATATATTAAATTTACATGCACACAAAGAATACCATACAACTTTACCCAGGCTATTTTGCAAGATGATTTTTTTTCTCTCATCAACAACAAAGAATGCAAATTCCGTCAGTCATGCTTGAAGTGCTCTTAATTTGTTGAAAATAACAATTAAGCCAAGTCAGCCTATGAACTGTAATGAGGAGCTAAAACTCTCAACATCACTTTACTATTTATGAAGAGCACTTCAACTCCATTAAACAACTATCAGTGAAAAACCAGCCAGTTGTTTAAAGCTCAGGCGTGAACTTCTGCTGACAATAACCCAAACAAGTTTAGAACGAATGAATACAAACCAATGGAGAGCACTACAAAGTACAGGTCGAGTTCCTCGCTGATTCATTGAAAGCCACCCAGTTTAGGAGCGACGCGGAAAAGAAACCTCATTAGCGTTCTGTACCTTCAACATGGCGAAAATGGAAAGCGGGGCAATTGAAATCTTCCCAAGGAGACTATTCCGATGAATGATCCGCGTCAAAAGTAGCATTATTACACATTCTTATAGCCTACCTGTAACCGTGAATTTCGAGTATGTCCCACAATTTCGCACGACCCTCATCCATACACGAAGGCTTGGTTCCAAAGCTACGGTGAAAAGGTTATTGAGTCTAAAACGGGTTGGGGGACGGGGAACGGTAAGGATGACGGGATGATCAGTTTGTTGAGCAAGTATTAAGTATTGGGAATTCTTTTAGGAAAGCATTACCCCTGCAAATCGACAAGGTCAGCGGAAGATGCTGAACAGACCTGTTGTTGCGATCGTAGATGAACCGCAATCTTATCTGATTCATCGTTCGCAAAGTATCTTTTCAGACTGTGAAAACTATGTACGTGATCGACGGCCCTGTTTTTACACTTAAGTAAAGCTGACGCCTTCTTTTGTAAGAATGTTTCACTCTGCAACAAGAGTTTATAATCTTTTGTCTGCATATGATATAGTGCAAATGGGGAAATGCGCAAATTAATTAGGATCTGATACCGATGAAGAGATTAAATTTTTTTTGCTAAAGGAAATTATCATTGGATTTGTGTTTTGTTTTGCCCTTTTTACATAATTTTTTGAAAAATGCAGATAATGTATCTAACACATAAATGAAATGCTAATCAATGGAGCTATGGTTGTTGCCTCCAAGGATTGAATGTACTCAGTTGTGGATTCTCCCATGGCGGTTGAGAACAATTGCAAGACGTCATAGTATGAGGAAACCTCTCAGCGCTGCCATGTTCCCAATGGTCAGCCAATCTTATGATGAGTGTCTCAATGGGGTGGATGGCTTTTACAGCTAACGATTAAATTTAGCCATTTTACGGCTAACGGTTCATATCTCATTCCATTGTTGTCACCAGAAAATCATTTTTAAGTTTAACCTTTTTTTTTACGACTAACGGTTAAAATTTTTCAATTTTTACGGCAAGCGGCAAAATTGTTTAGCCGTTTTACGGCTAACGGTTAACCCCACTGAGACCCTCTAACATGACTTTCGGCGACCTTTACACCAATTCAAATCCCATGATAATTTTGACTTCCAAAATGTTCATCGCACACTTGTGAATCCCTCCTTCCCCCACCTCCCTCGCCATTTCTCTCCGGATACCATCACTCAAAATCACGCAATACATTTTGATTCTTGTTACCATCATTTATCTAACTTTTCTCTTAACAGTCTATGATTGTAGTACAATCAATTTAAGTTTTTAAACTTAAATTAAATTCTTTAATCAGAAGTATGATCAGTTCTCCTAAAATGAGCAGTTTTTCAGGATGATAACTTTTCTACTACATAATGTACCCACTACAGGCCTTACAGAAATTAACTTTAGCATATTCAAGATTTAGTGAACAAATATGTAGCCAAATGCCTTAATCGATAGTGAGTTGCGTAACTCGTTTCCACACGAATTCGAACCGTCCATGTTGTAAAACATTCCAGCGGAACCAAACCCAATTCTGCTCTGCGTAGTTTGATGACAGTAATCTGGAGAGCCAATAATTCCAATACGAGTCTTAGCACCGACACTGAAGTCATGATACTCGGCAATGCTATTGAAACCCTGCATCTGGCAACCGTCCTAGCGAGGAAAAACATCAGATGTACTGTTATTTCAGAAAAGAACGATGTAAACAAACCTTTGATCGTTAAATACATGTACACACACTACATATGACCTGAACAACCAAATATATACGGCTAAGTTACATAACATTGCGGAACGTAAAGTAATAATACTGAATACCACACAAATAAGTGACATAATCAACTAAGTCCGTGTTCTATTTACGCATACTGATTTGGAGCACCGAGGAGTATTAGCAACGCTGCTGTTATCATATGTACGTGATAGGCTGTTCAAGTAAATCCATGCTAATTACATTAAACCCACAATGAGGATCGAAATAAGTTGAAGGTTTCTATTTATGTGCAGAATAACACTCCTGTTTCTCCTGTTTCGACCACACTTTAAATCACTTATAAGACCCCCCCCCCTTCCTCGTTCAATGTTTCCTGTATGTAGCGAAAGGTTCGTGGAATCACGTTACAACAATCTTTAAGCGAGAATGAGTTGACTTAACAAGGGCAAACGAGATAAAATTGAAGTGATAGGGGGTTGCAAAGGTTAATGTGTCAACAGTTTTGTCGACAATTAAAGATGTAAGTCAGTAATAGATTCTCCTGATTTCAGATGGTAAATGCAAGAACAAATCCTTTTATCATGTACACCTCTACCACTGACTTGTCGCCCATCAGAAGAACGTCTCTTGTTTATAAATGATTCTTTTTTTTTCCCAAGGACCAGAGGGGCGGGATTACTCTTAATTAAATTTTGTGTTACTGGCTTATAGCATAGGGAATTTGACATAAAGGCTTTTCACCTCAATTTCTGAGTTATTCAGTAGCTTTTTCCATTCTGTTGCACTCAGATTTGTTGGTCGGAATGTTCCGTCGCCTATCACGTCCCTCAGAGATGAGGCAGGGTAGTTCAAGACAATCCAGTTTGTTACGCCGTTGTCAGGGTGTTTCATGCCTAGGCACAGTCGAGTGAAAGGTGTCGACCAAAAGCTGCTCAGTTTAGTTTCGTCTTCATTAAGGCTTGTTCCAGCAGACTCGTTGTAAGCAACAGTGTTATTCCAATATTCCGCATAGTACGTAAAGGTTTGCTGTCGATGAAGAATGATATAACGATTTAGCCAAGACTAAAAGCGTAGCTCGTTTTTTTTTTTTCACGCACGTCTCAAGGGCACAACGCCTTGCCCCGGCCAGGAATAGAACCCGGGTCGTCCGACTCGGAGCCCAGTGCACTGACCATTGGACTACTGGACAAAGCCGTGGCGTTGGCTTGCCCGCGGTACAGTTGACCACGCATGTTAAAAGTAGCGCCTTGTACAGTCGTACGGTCGTATGATCGTACATCCAAATATTTTCGGCTTGATGGGTTACTACTATTTTGTATAATTATGGGGCTACGCTCTGCGAGCTCCGCTATGATTAAACACGTTCTTATGATCACATATTTATTGAATATCGAAAATGACCACTGCGATTAAATATATTATTTTGATTCTAATTCAATTGCAACATTTAGTTATTCCTATCACATCTCACAAATAAATGTCGTTAAACACATCATTGGCAGCTGAAGTCATTTGCAAATTGTTTTTTTTTCCTTGTCTCTCCAACATGGCGCACAATTTAATAATTGTTTGGTAGATTTTTTCAACAGGTAAAGGCTTAAGAAAAAATAACCAGGAGCTATTCCCGAACAAGAAACAGATACCAACTCTTAACTGGTTCGTTCGTAGCTTTTCTTCTTTTTATCTTCCTATTCATTGTTTGAGACGAATAGATTATATTTTCCCAACGTCCTCTGGTTGAAAATCACATAAGACACCAAAATTTGGTAACAAAACATTGATAAACCCGCGCGCCCGCAGCTAATATTCCGCGTTTTTATTCTTCGCACATCTTGACGTCATCTATGATCTATATCCAAACAGACACACAACAAAACATAGTAAAGTTGTTACAAAAGGGAAAACTGGGACAGAGAGGGAAAATCAGGGCGTTGCATCATTTTCTTTTGGTTGTTAAGAGTAATATTGATGATATACCTTTGTTCGCTTAAAATGCACTGCAGTGAACGTTAAAATCTTGAACACCAGGTCCTTAGATCTAGCACTCACGGATTCATCCATACCTAAAAAAATCTCAGATATCAACTGCGCAAAAGTTAACCCCAAAATACCTTGTGTCCATCAATTTTCATGACAAGCGTCCATCCGCCATCCCCACATCCGGGAATGGGAGTCATGTGACAAAATACGGATGCTATCTTGGCAGGCGAGTTTACCCGGATGCGGTAAGGACCGTCAAGACGGATTCTGAAGTAAAAGGAATGGATGGAAGTGAGTCTTAAGCTGAAGTTGCATTAAAAGGATTTTGTCAAATTTTTGACCCAGATTATGAAGTGTCAGGCGTCCTTTAGTGGGTTTTGTGCAAGAAGACCGCTGACTTTTCAGACTGACAAATTTCCTGATCGCGGTGGGTTAATAAAAAAGCCGTACCTTTTGTTCTTCCATATCTCCTTACAGGAAAGAGGAATTCGGCCTGGAATGAAAGAATTAAAGACGAACTTGGAAAATAAGGAATGACCAAGCGCATGCAAGGAGTTAAAAAAGAGTGCCTCTAGACTAAAAATCACTTTATTCAGTTTCTTTAGTGTTTAACCTGAGATGGTCATGTCACAATAATCCAATACAGCGTTTCCTTTGCCACTTTCATCCAGCCAGTACATGTTACTGACGGTGTCTTTACCCTCACTCAATTTTATTTCCTGACATGACTGCGCTGGTAGTTCTGGAATGGAGCCCAAGGGAACTGTAAAGCAATATATATCCGAATTACCCTCGTGGAGTGCAAAGCAGTGCGATTGAGGCTCAGTAAAGAGCCCTCGAATCATTCAGCATTCTTTACGATGGCCGGTGCGAGGACATTCCTGTCTTAAAAGTTATCTTAGGAGCTAACGAACTGAAAGTAACACTCACCCTTAAAAAAAAAAACAATTCCAAAGCTAAACCAACTCACACGGGTAAATTTACTTTCACTCCCGGATAGCCTTAGGGCAACCCTGGGTTGCTTTTCGATCTTGATTAAATCACTGCGATAGGTAACCCTTTTGCAGTCAAATTTTTGTAAGTGTTTTTAGGGTGAACGTAGTCAAAGGGGCCAGTCCTCTCTATTAAGTAATCTTTGTCGAGAGCCGGGTCGTTCCGGCTAGAAGGAGTTATATGTCCTCAACTTTTTTTTTATTTAAGCACTAACACGGTTGGCACTTTCACCCACGTAACCTTTTCTGCCTCATTTTTAACTCGTGAACTGCGCGCATGCGCAAGAGCGAGTTATAGATACGATGTGGGGAATGGCATTCGCTCGCTCGCTCGATTGGTCGATTCCTGTAAACTTTTTTTAGATTTTAGGCTTTTGAGTGCATTTGATAGTTTTTGGCGAGCAATAAACAGACGAAATGGCGACCTTTGTTGCTAAGAATAGTGGTGGGGTGAAAAAGAAGCCAATGATAATCTTAAAAGAGTTTTTTTTTTTCGTTTTAGTTTTAACAAGCGGCGCCAGCGACTGGCAGGCATGCATGGATTCACACTGAAATAACAGAACAACCTTCGTTTTTCATAAAATTGTAATTTACAATCCTTGAAGTTGAAAACAATCCCAAGATTCGTTGAAAATATCACTTACTGCGAAGCGCTCGGAGTTTACAGATGTTCAAAAGCTTTTTATGTCATGGCGTGAGATTGAGGACAAAATTGATCATTACGTTTCATCGCGTGTGTTTTTCCTGTGTGAAGCATCAGAAGATGCCGGCGACTGACGAAATTACAAGTTAACACGAAAATCAAATAACACCTAAACAAACAATTTTAGCTACCGATTTTCAGTGAATTTTTAAAGAACAATTTTCTTTTAAGTTTCAAGACAATTTGAAGATTCAACATACATACAACGTACTAAAATGCGAAAGTTACACACCACAAAATTGATAAATAGGCCTGAAATGAAATTCTATCTTGTTATTGATTATACTTTGCCTAGCACGTGACTTAAATCTACCCAGGTGGAGATCCAAAATGACGGTGGCAGTCTTGGCTTAGTTATATCACTCAAAACTCGTTCCCGTTTGTCTCATTTGATAAAGAGGGAATCGTTAATGTTTTCATTATGACAGTATTGCCTTGATTTTCTAATATTTACAACGAAAGACAGTAAATTTCACTTTTCACCCACATTTACTTCCAACCTTTTCTTTTGAACCAGAAACAAAAATGACAGACGTTTAAAACACATGACATCATCCACCTTGTCAAATGTAATAGCATGATCATTTCAATTGTAATGCCTTCTTATCCCAACTTTACTTTGTTTCTTTGCTACATTAGCGAACACTGAACTACTGCTCGTACTCTAGATATGACAATCAACCACAAAATTCCCTAAACCAGATAACACTAAACATAATCTAAAAAATCATGTGTAAATTCACGAGTTTTCTCACAGAGCACTTTGATCTATACTGTTTTAGATTCTATACATGATAGCCTTCCACAATTCCATCATACTAGGTGTGTATTTGTTACCTTACCTCAAGAGATATTGATATTCTCTTGCTGATCTCGAACTTTGTCAGGCTTTTTCGTAGGTAGAGAGTCTGACCTGGGTCAATCTCGAAGCGAACCGCATGCTAGTGAACACTGTTACAAATAAACCTGGGCTCGTGTAAAGAAGCTCTTAGTTGTTCAGAATACTTTTACAAACATGACTTTTAAAGGTCTTATTTTCTGTACGTTTCCGTCATCCTCAATTATATTCCGATATGGAAAAGAGCAAGGATGTTACCAATAACCTATTTCGGAGACCGAGAAATTATTCGACAGTGCTGACATCCAAGTAAATGTACCTACCTCGGCCATTTAAACGTCGGATGTAAAACCATGCAGGAGCTGAGATGAAGTTTTCTGGTCTTGCTTCCTTGGTGCGGTTATTTAACTCGCAAATCTTGTTTTCTCTGTTGTAGTTGTAGCTTTGACAGGTAATTTCCTGTTCGCATTTGACATCACATAGGTAAGGGGCTGTTGTTAACAATATTTTAAAGGTGAAACCCTTGAGAGCCCTGCCTTGTATGTTAACTTCTGTTCTCCATTTGTCTTTGGCAGCCGCGAGGTTCAAAACGAGAACGAGAAAGACAAGGATAGAACAACCCGTATACTGCACTTCACCTGCCTGCTAAAATTAGAGAAAATGTTTACTTAAGGATAAAAACCAAAAGAGACGAAACAAGTTTTTGTGAGAATTGAGCCGGGGCATACAGCAATCTTGGGCTCCTTGTTGCACCCAAAAAATGTCTGAAACTGTGGCGCAGTCTCATGCGCTCTTTTTCACCTGCTAGTTGCGAAGAGAAATATCAGTATTTTGAAATTATTTCTGACCACAGTATCAGTATCAAGTGTTTCAGGTTAAGATAAGACAGTTCTTTGACAGAATATCTAAAATAAGAGCATATACCATAAAATTCTTACTCATTGACGGCGCGAGATGAAGGGTATTGATAAAAATTAATTTCGACATAAAGCGCAGGGCTCCTCTTAAACATTATAATTACCTTAAAAAAATACGACATCGTATTTACGGTTGAATACAGCATCAAAATCCTCTCAAGGAAACTTTGCCTAGTGAAGTTTGACGCACCGACGAAATCCAACTATGCGCACTGTGGAGCTAAAGAAAGATAAGGACAAGTGTTGGTTTTAGCTTAGCTTTTTGAGGGTCTCAATGGGGTTAACCGTCAGCCGTAAAATGACCAACACATTCTTAGCCATCGGGCGGAACAAATTTCAACCGTTAGTCGCAAAATTTTCTTCTACTCACAAAGGAAGGGAGTTGACCGTTAGCCGTTAAATGGCCAAAATTTTTAACCGTTAGCCATAAAGTGACTTTATCCCCATTGAGATCTTCCTATTAAAGCAGCTACGCGAATTTGAAATGGGTTTGCTATAAAACATGTTTAAGAATCTCTCTTACCTCCGAAGACGAACACCACAACTTCCCGTTCCTTCACTACAGGTGTTCGCAATGGCCTGAAATCGAATAAAGTTTTGACGAGCCAATAGCATTCAGTGACACTTTGCAGGTATGATTACGTTTAATACCACTCTGTCAATAATTTGAAGAAAACGACAAAACTTTTAAGTTTGTAAAACATGTTTCGACAGAACTTCTGTCATCTTCAGTTAATTAATGTACAAAGCGTTGGAAGTTGAATTTATAAATGAATTTACTAAGGCCGAAACCCACAAAATTTTATTCAAAAAACCAACCCTATATGGAAAATTACACATTCCAGAGCCAGAATTTACGAAAAAAAGATTTTATGTGGCATTGGATTAACCAAAATGTAGATGATTTTCTAGAATATCTGCAAAATTTGAGGGCCATCATGTAGGAGAAAACATGAAAATCGTCTTGTTAAACAAACAGACACCATACGCAATTGCTACTGAGCTATCGTCAAGATGCAAATATTGGAATCATTATTAAGGCTGGTACTGAATGACAACGTGTCCAACATTAACAATTAGTTATAATTTTTAAATATCAAACCCAAATTGAAATACATATAGCAGACTGTGGCTGTCGCAACAGCTATTTTGAATGGAAATTTTCATATATCAACGGAGACTGAAGAACTCCAGCGATTATTAGGCACATGACAGGTGCTCCTTTATATTAGGAAGCTTTCTCTACATGTGAACTTGTGCTTTTATCTTCTGTGTCAAACATAATGCTCAACAAGTGTTCAAATCACATGAAAACATTGGGGGGGGGGGGAAAGGCGAGAGAAAAAATTGAGGCGAGAGCTAAAGTGCCCCTAACCTGAAGTGCAAGCGTCTTATTTGGGCGGGTTCACGTTAAGAAGTGCACGATCGTTTATTCAACCAGCCATGTTTGATTTGGAGTTAGAGTCGACTGTCGCTCACCTCCTTGGTACAAATTATTTCTCTCCCCAGCCTTCCGCTGCCATTAAATTCAAAGATGGCGGCCATAATTTTCCATAATTACTGTGAACACCGAACGGAAATGCTTGCCTGTTTGGGAAACGAAAACTCTATTTGTCCACCAACGCTTATTAGCTTGATTAAAAAATGACCACTTTTGTAACGGCAAACAATGATTAAATGGCAATCTTCACATATCTTCCTCTACATCTCTAGTTTGAAAAGTGAATTTCTTACACGTGAAATTCAGTCATAGAAAAACAATTTTAGTTTGTGATACTAAGTTGACAATTTTGATAAATAAATTTATTAAGACTGAAAAGTTTTTCGCTGAAATCACTCCCTGCAGAGAATGAAGACTCGTGTGATTACTGAAAGAACAATGGAAGTGCTCTTTTTAACTGAGAGGATTACCCCTCAGGCAAAAAGGAAGGGGAAGACACCAGTGTTATTTTAAAATCATCGGTGATCAACATAATGCTTAATGATCATTCGAAAAAAATAAACTGAAGTGCACATGGAAGAGAAGCATTGATTATTAATTCTTTTCTGGCTTACAATCTCTAAATTCTTTGCCTGACAAATAAACATCGTAAAACATATTTTCCACGTTGATTTATTTGACAAATACTAAAAATGTTACACTGGGGTTTTACTGGAAATTGTATCAACCATTTCTCAAGTAAAATACGCTTTGTCTTTGATTCATATAGAAACTTAGCTTTAAGTTAAAAGTACTCGGACAAAACAAGGCAAGACCAGAAGAATGCATTACTTAAGAAGCGCAAATAGGTCTCGTTATTCGGTTAACATAAATTTGGTTTCTGTATTTACATAATCAAACTTCAGCTGTGGGGGACTGGAATCAGGTCTTGATGATCTTTTCTGTGTCAGTGGAATCAAAGGGTCTGCTTTGTTATTTCCAGTTTCTTTATCTTCTTTGTTCAACTTCCAGTACTTTGTGGAACAGCACACAGCTAAAGCGCGTCGAAATTCCGGAATTCTCAATGCATAAACGATGGGATTTACAAACGAGTTAGAAAAATTGAGAAAATTGACAATCATTGCATGTCTCCATGGTATCGAAACACCGAGCCCCCTTAAATCATTCGAAATAACAAAAGGAAGCCAACAAAACAAGGCAAGGGTAGAAACGAACAGCAAAGTTCTTGTTACGCGTTCATTTCGCGAGGTTCTATTCTGCTGTTGTGATGAGACGCTTCCCTGTTTAAGCTTTCTCCAAACTGCGATGTTACAACCGCAAATGGTAAACAGCAGGATAACTGCGAATGGCATTCCTACGTAAGTGCATTCTTGGCCGGGAATCAAGAACACCAAGCTGGAGAAAGGCAAGGCTAACATCCAAACTGTAAATATCACAACACAGTAATTTCGTACTGTTAGTTTTCGGTGATTAAAGGGCTGTGATATGGCGTAAAACCTCTCACAAGAAATGAAGGCCACGGAAATTAACGAAGCCACTAATGCGACTTTCGAGGTGATGTCTAAGAACAAGTTCAAATACGTGTTTACATTTTGAGTCCAGATTCGGTAATACTCCGGTCTTCCAAAGCCAAGGTAAATATATAGCGGAAGAGCTAGAGCTCCAAAGATCAGATCAGCCAGCGCCATATTGAGAACAAGAAACAAGCTTTTCTTGCGGAGTTTCTTGTTGGCTGCAAAGAGGAAAAAGGTGAGAAAGTTTTCTACGACGATTAAGACAGATAGTATAGCAAAAAGACAGCACCATACGATGCCTTCTGCCTTGGAAGGAAGATCAATCCTTAATGGACCACGATCATTCTCTTTGCCACTGTTCACAGCCAGCGTGTCATTCATTTTGAACTTTTCGCTGCAAGATGAAAATTTTTCAATGAGGTTACGGCCAAGGTGACTCACGCGGTTTGACTGAAGTGAGTGGAAATATTGCAATATATAGCATTACATCTTCTTTTTGCTGAGTCACAAACCAAATGTCATTCGCGAACCAATTCATAATTCATAACCGAAGGTTTTAAGATTGTTATCGCCGCCAATATCCGCTCACCTCAGTCATTCGTTGACGCAAGAAGAACTTTAATTTTTAGCTGTACACAACTTATCAAAAATTATATTTCTCCTTCCCATGCACTCTTGACACAGAAACGCTTAGCTACTCGCTAATAGAAAAGTTACCTTAAAACTTACGCCGTCTAATTTGATCGATCACTTTTGAAGGATAACGCTTGAAAATAATACAGCTTCTCATTCAAAATATTCTCCGCGCTTTGGATGTGTTTGTGCGCCTTTTTCCTCATCCAATTACCTCGCATAAAAAAAGGTTCCATTTCCGACAATAATGTTTTTTTGAAGACATTTTTATAGGTGCATGCTTAATAAATGACCATTTCATTTAAAAGATGCTTAATGGGTGGTTCCTTGAAAGGGAACCTTGAATATTGACGATGAAGGACTAGCAGTATCGAGTGATATCATGTAATGGCATATTTATTTCAATTTTTCAGACGCCTCGGGGTCTATGACTTTAAGGTGTCTTGAATAAAGTCAGTATTAATAATCTCTAGAAGTAATTAGACGATACTCGCTGACACATAAGGGGTCTCAATGAGGGGCACTTTTTTGCCGCTTATAAGACCTACTACCACCGTCTGTTAAGTCAGCGAGTAGCCTCTCGCGTTTGCATTTTGTCTAACAGCCCCTTTCCCGACAGGGCTGCCCATTCTATCATAATGGCAGCTGCTTTTCGAAAAATTTATAAAAACCCCTTTTCTTGATAAATTCTGCTACGAATAATTTTTTTATTTTTCAGTTCCTTTCTGCTCCTTAAAAATTTAAGAAAAATGCTTTTCCGGTATAATGTAAACTAATTGAACAAAGGAACAGTTTTGCTGCCAAAAAAATTAGGATTTTGAATCCAGATTACATAAAAACTCTAACACGAAAAGCTTTTAGCGGTGTCTCTCCGAACGAAGACTATGCCCTTGATCAATAAATGAACTCAAGCTTAATTGCATTATAGTGATCTATAGATCCGAACGACGGAAAATATTATTAATCAACTGAATCATAACTCTTAGCTTTTAATGCTGATGCCACTTCGGTAAATATTATTGTTTGATGCAACAGCAGGCTTTGTAATTATTAAGAAAACAGCCACAGTAGTACAGTAGTTTCATAATGATTACAACAATGCACCTCCTCGCCCGAGTCGAAATTGTCATGAAATTAACTCGAAAATGTAGTTTCCCACGAGGAACCGCTTTTACTGAGAATTGTTTTGTTCGGCTGCCATGGTCAAGTTCAGATACTCCAAGGAGCAGGTGCTTTCTGCGCTTTAGTAGTTTTTCTGATGCTTTCGAGATATTTCACAAAAGCAACTACAAAAGACTTTTGACTTTAATGTCAAAATAGATGATTTATGAAACGGCTTCCAATACAAACACAAGAAATAGTTGCGATCTGTTTATATTCACTTTGTTTTTGTTTCGAATGTTTTCCTTGTTTCATTATGAAATTATGCCAAGTATATCAGAAAGTCGCGATAAATTTACGAGCTGGAGGAGAATATTTGAATTTATTAACGCAGATTATCGCATAGTATTCTCAGCAGAAAAAGGTGTTGAGCAAGATAAACAGTCAAAGAGAGGTTAAAAATAAATTACGATTTTAACACTTTCAATCCTGATTCCGTGCATTAGTGCAAACTGCAAGAGAAACCTGAACTTTAAATCTGTTTGGTTATTATCACGTTAAATGGAAACATCGTCTTTGACGTAATAAATGGAAAAATAAAATCGCATCAAAAAAACCTAAAAAGACAACTTAGGACTTGAATCGGCTTCATACCCGTCACAGGTTTAAATTCAAGTCAATGAAATCTTCAATATGGCTTCCATCTTGTCGGCAATCTTAGATGAGGTAAGTCACCTGTCATATCTCCAGGGGTGGGGAAGAGATATCGGAGAATTTTGAGTGTGACAGATAAAATTTACCTGACCTCCCCATCCCATAAGGTTCTGTAATATTCTTACAAACCCTCCCCTTCCCCCCCCTCCTCATTGGCAGTAAATTATTTGTAATCCACTCCGTCCCCCCTGGAAACCATGTGATCCTCCCCAAAATCCTCCGACCCCCCTCCCCCACGGGCGATTATTACTTTTGCCCTAACACTCCATTTGAACCTCATCATTGCTAGGATCATCTAGAACATTTCTGCTTGAAAGCTTAAAGGGGTGAGCTGAGATGCCGGGTTCAATCTTCAGCGTTCCCCTTTTTTTTCTTTTCTTTTTTTTCACAGTAGAGTTACTTTCCTGCTTGTTCAAGGGTTGTCAAATTCATGGCCATTCGGCAAGGAATTTGTATTCAGTTTATAATGAGGTAAATGATCTATTTGTCGACATCTCACTTACATGTCACACAATTGTAACCTTTTCTGTTGTTATAAGTTCGGTTTCTGATTCCAACTCCGCTGCGACACTATTTAGAAAGACAAGTATATCACGAAGAAAACGCTGCAGCAGTTAAATTGCTACCGCCTGCCGTGTAGAATGCGGGCGCGTATGTGCAATGTAACCTGGAAATGAATCAACAGAAATATTGAATGAGCCAATGTAGAGATTGGTCTTTATACATCACCTGGGGGAAGAGGGGGGGATTTTGGTTATGTCACGATAAAATTTTCCTTATCCCCCCTCATTGGCAGTTAAGTGTCAGTCTATTTTCAATAGTTCCCCCTTCATACTTTACCGGCGACGACTGATCCCGCCTCGAGCTCAGTTAACTCTGAAAACCATGCGATCACCCCACAATCTCCCATTCCCTCCACCCCAGGCGATAATGGTAAATTGGTCCCTTAACTCTATAGTATTCAGCCATGGGTGTAGGCGGACCAACAGTAACGGCTGAAAACTAAGGATGGAAACTTTTTCGTATGACATGATTCGTACCCTTTTTCAAAAATAAATTTCAAGGAGTTCTCCAGGACTCGGATTGATTTTTTCAGGACTCCAAATTTCACCTTAAATCTTTCATTCCCAAGTTTTCAAAAGCAATTCTCCTCATGGTCTACGTACATTTCTTCTAACGTAAATTCTGGAAAATCAGTTTCGCTTGAGTTGAGCATATTTCCAGGACCTTCCAGGACCTGTAGTCTCAAAAGTGAAAATACAATTCCTGGACTTTCCAGGTTTTCCAGGACCCGTGCGAACCTTGATATAATCATCACGTGAGCAATGGCAAGGGATCTGTTTACCTACTTGCAAGGGGCGGTCCACAAGCAATCATGATTGACATACAAAACAGCCAAAATCCAAGGGCTAGAGCCCTTTGTCCTTCATGAACAGAGGTTAACACCAACATATATACCACAGTCGATAAGCTACCGTGAAATAAACCAAATATTATGGAATAACCGAGTAAACTCGAAAAGCTACTCGCCGATGGACAGAGAAGCGTTGAAAAACGAAGAACAAACATGCATCCTCGGAAGACATATCGGCGATTAGCGAATTTAAAGTCACACAGGCATCCTACTAAAATTCTGAATATAACTGAACACAGTCCGAGCACTAAGTGAAGTTTTGAAGCAAGCTGTAAACTAAAGCCTTTCTCTTCCCAATAGCGAGCCTTAGAAAGTAATGCAAATAGACAAAATGAGGAAGAAAGCTAAAAATAGATATAAGTGCCTCACTGTTGTGTTATTGGGATGATTCATTTCGTGATAAAAGGTGACGTCCTAGAGGTGCTTGGCCTACAATAACTGCCGCTGCTTATTCTCAGTGTGTAGAGAACCTCAATGGTTTAATTATTAGCCGTAAAACAGCGGTAAATTTTAACCGTTAGTTGTAAAAATTGACGAATTTCATCCGTTAGTTGTAAAAAATCTTAACCATGAAATTTCTTTTCAGCAACAAAGGAAAAAAAATTAACCAAAAGCCGTAAAATGACCAAAATATTAACCGTTAGTCGTGAAAGCTATCACCCCATTGACACTCTCCTCTCGATCTGGGGTCTAGCTTGCAATATGCTGACTATGCTGGTTTCCCTAACAAACAATAAAAACATATCTTTAATTTAAAAAATTTAAAAATTAAAATCGAAAAATATTTTCAAAAGCGCATTTAATGGTAGGCTCTGATGAATCATGCCGGCATAATTTTGAGCATAATGGATGGTTATTAAATGATCTTAAGTTGAGTTATTGCATGAAGCATAACGCAAATTCATAAGCATAATTTTTGGCAGAATATTATGTATTCAGGGTTGACGGTCAAAAGCATACTGCTCGCATATTAGAGCACTACTGATTTATCTGACGCTACTATATAACCTGATAATGCCTTGGGTAATTAATAAAAGAAACTAAGTACTGGCGAGACGTGACTAGACAAAATGTGTTTTTTGTGGTTTCTGTTCGTAAGTTCTACCCAGTACTTTTATCGCGTGACAAGCGAGTTTGCGGAAAACTCTAAATAAACAAACGACTCCCAACAGTAACAGATGTCTGTAATTAAAACGTGTTAAATTTTGAAGCAATTAGTCCACTTAAGAACGTGTCTAACCTCCAGATGTGGAGCTAAATCACTTTTCTTTTCAATTGGATGTTTCTGTTTTGGAGCAAGAAAAGTTAGCCATGTCAGTATTCGACCCTAATTTGCATTTAGTGCAAAACTTGATGAAACATCGCAATTTTCGGCATCTTTTAAGGTAAAAAAAACCCGGCGATAAAAAACTATGCCCAGGTGGGTTACGAACTCCATCCTCATTAGACCGAATTCTTATGACAAGAAAACATGGCGCCACTTTCCTCAAAATCAGTTAAATCATTCCCTGACGGTATAGGCGGAGTAAGCAGAAGTTAATTTTCGCTTCACTGGCAGCCAATAATCGACAGGTTCATCACATCGCTTATACCATGCGCTCTTTCCCATTACAGAGAAGCCAGTTGTAATTTCAAACTGTACCGAAAAAAACCTTTCTCTTTAAAGGAATCATCCCTCACTCTAAAGAGAAGTGAGAGTAAAATTGTATGGCGGATGACTAACTTACCAAGTGGATTATCTCAGCTTCGAAAGGCCCTCCTCTTTTCTGCTGTCCCAGCATCTTAGATCATTTCAATAACGATAGTTTACACTACCTTTCCCTTCTTATAAAAAGATGGTAACATAATCGATTTCTGCGCACTCTACTCCGGCGTCTTGACAAAGACGAGGTAAGGTCTCACTGATCTTCACCTCTGGGCTCGATTACCACCAGCTGATCGGGATGAGAGCGCGCGCTCCTTTCCGTCAGAAAGGGAATGGATATGTAGCCTTCTTTATCAGTTTATCACAAGTCTACTTTTAAAACTTTGGGCTGGCCATAGTCTCATTACCAGCCGTTGTTTAGGATATCACACAACGCTCTTCCCTAAGGATGGTGACTAAAGGACTAAAGATGATTGAGCTGGCTGAGGCAGAGGTCCAGAGGTAAAATTAAGGATACGGTAGATCTTTGCGGGTGTCCTTTGCGAAAAAAATTGTGAACGTATTATAGTGTAACTATAACTCAATGGAAAGAGGGTTGACAAGTTCACTGCCATTTGGCAAGAAATTAGCGCTCAGTCAGTGCAGCAACTATTTTTTTTGTAAAAACCTTACATGTCACACAACTGTAACTTTTTCTATTACAACAAGCTCGGTTTGCAATTCCATCTCCTCCGCGTTTCTTTTTAGGAAGTACATTACGAAGAAAGCGCTGGCACCAGTTACGATGCTGCCGCCTGCCAAATAGAATGCAGGCGCGTATGAACCCGTGGAGTCCGCAATGTAACCTGGAAATGAATCGAGTATTCTTCAATGAGTCAATGTAGAACTTATGAGTAAAGCTCGGAAAGTCCTATTTTTACATCTTAACTATATAGTACATGCACTCAGTCGTGAGTTTAAGCGAAACGACATCAATGTCTGGAGAAACGTCAGGGGACTGTGTCTAGAGCTATTTGCACATAATCAATACGTAAGCAATAGCAGGGGATCTGTCTACCTACCTGCAAGGGGCGGTCCACAAGCCATTATGATTGACAGACAAAACAGCCACAATCCAAAAGCACGAGCCTTCTGTCGTTCTTGTACAGAGGTTAACACCAACACATTTGCCACAGTCGATTGCCCACCGTCAAACAAACCAAATGCTATGAAATAAACGAGCACAGTCGGGAAGCTATTTGTCAATGGACAGAGTAGAGTTGAAAAACCAAGAACAAACAGGCATCCTTGGTAGACAAATCGCTGATCAACGAATTTATAATCACATATGCGACCGACTAAAATTCTGGCGAAAACTGAGCACAGTCCAAGCACTAGGTAGAGCGTCGAGGCGACTTGTAGACTAATGCCTTTCTCCTCACAGTAGCGAGCCTTAGAAAGAAAGAAAAATAAATAAAGGACAGAGCTAAAGATAAATTGCATTCATTGTTGTTTTATTGGGATGGTTCAGACCGTGATAGAAAGTGACGGCTAAGGGGCGCTTAGCCTATGATAACTGCCAGTGTTCATTCTGGCTTTGTACATCTCTAACTGGGTTCTAGCTTGCTATGTACTGGGCTTGTTCTCACTGGCGACGGAGTGGCACTTAGAGTCGCAAGAGCGTTTCTGAACTATTTAAAATCGGAATTAAGTGGAGTCGTTGGCGTAACAGAATCGAATAGGAAAGAATCAGATATAATTGTACTCTTCTTCCGATTCTGTGGGTTTAATTTGCTCCGTATCTTATCGGTCTGCACTTCAAATAACAACTCTGCCTCCAATACCGTCGTTGGCGAAAACCAACACGAAGCTACCGCGTTTCCCATCGTCCGACGATAAAATTCCAACTAAAGTAGGACCAATAGCATATCCGGGAAGCATGCAGTAAAGGCTAATTCTTCTAAATCTACAGGCTCATTGGTACATTCAGGTTTCCATGCTTTATTTCAATTACTCTTAGACTGGGTGTCGCAGGTAACCAGTTGTTTGTCAAGTTTGCCGACAGTTTTAATTTCCCTACTTATTTATACCCTGGGTGGAGGAAAAACACGGCTGTCAGATGTTTTACCAAAAAAAAAAGCCTAAAAAAAAACCTATTCAGGATTCTTGTGGCATAGTTTTTGTTACTCTTACCATGTGGACTTGAGGAACTGAATTTCCTAATATCACAATAGTTGTAACGAAAACCAATAGCAAATATGAAGGATTACGTGACAAATGTTTTTTTTTCTTGTCGCCTTGCTCAAACTCACGATGTAAGTCTCGTTCGGCAGGATTCGTCGGAGCGTTGGGATCAAATGCACAACCAAGGAGACAAACAGATGCGATGATGCCAGCCATTACGAAAAATGCCCCCCGCCATCCAAGCTCCTCTATAGAGCGTGCTAAAATAGGGCTCATTACGAATGTGCCGGCTCCAGGCCCCGCCGCAATCATTCCAGTTGCTAATGAACGGTATTTCAAAAAATACTTGGGCACAATGACAAATACGCTGGTGTAGATACAACAACCTCCAAAAGCAAATATGGTGCTGTATGTCAAGTATATCACGAATATATTCCGAGCCTGGGAAGTCGCAACAAGTCCGATCACAGACACCAAGGCACCAATAATTGTGACAGCTCTGGGGCCAAAACGATCGCAGAGTTTTCCCGCCAGTGGGCCGAAGAAGAAGGTCAAGGACATGCAAAGAGAACCAATCCACGCTAAAGAAAAAGAGGTGTTCAATGCAGTGATGGAATTCGTTGATCCAGTCTCAGTCAATGTGCATGTCAGGGATAAACGAAAGCAAAAACAAAGAAGCTTTATTGCACCTGCTACTAGCTAAGAAAAACCGGATCAATATCAGTATCTGGGCAACTGCCCACCTACACCTCCCCTAACCCAACATTAACCTTAACTTGTTATCAATTGACTGTTGTTGAGTTAGGGGAGGGGTAGGTGGGCAGTTGCCCAGGTACTGATATTGATCCGAAAAACCCATGTTCGTATACCCATATTCGTGATATTCCAAAGAAATAGTTTTTCTTGGAGGAAAAAGGAAAAGGGTTTACCCGATTACTCGCATGCCAATACATTTGTTGTCGAGGTAAATCATTGTATTCCTCGGCTCACAGTTACTTTACTGACTTAAAACCCGGTGGTTTAGATGTAATTCATGTTATTCAGTGATAACTTCTATTGATTGAGGATTGAAATCTCCGGATTTCGTTTCCAAGTCTACGTTCCTTTCTTCTCAGTTACTCAAAAATTTTGGATATTTTCTAATTCAAATGAGCACATAAATCCATCCTCGACATCTGTTCCTTCATGCAATACTCAAGAGAGCAAAGAACTTAGGCTTCAGTCTGTTACCTGTTTGAGCTTTGCCTCGCTTGAACTCGTCCAAAAGTGACGGGTATATGACACCAAAACTATACGAACAACCCAGAGTAAACACGTTACAAAGACAGCCACACCCACCCACCAGCCACGCCCAGCCACTGTCGTGCTTGTGAACTCGTCTTCCCGCAGCTAGAGAGCAGGTAACACAGCAATGAGTTCTTGTTTCTTCATGCCCGGCCGGCCAAAGGGGAGCAGCAGTCGTTATCATATCAGTATTCCACAGTACTTGGCTGATAGTAAGGTACAAAACAAAAATATTTTTTAACTTTGAACTCCACGGGTTAAAAAATGAGAGGGCATCTAAGAGGGATGGCTGGCTTTTACGGGTAGAGGTAAAAATTTTGCCAATTTACAAATAACGATTAATTTCTGTTCTTTACAGTTGAAAGAAAATTGTTTACGGCAAACTTTTTGTTGCCACTAAAGGTTAAAATTTGTCCACCATAGGAGGGCTCCTGACTCAGTCGATAGCACCAAATTACCCTGTTATACTCTCCCACCGACGCAGCTCTACGGTTTCTTTAGTAACTTACCGGTACCCTCTTAATTACGTTTTTTGTTTGTTTGCCTTTTTGCAGCCAACGGTCAACTTCGGGGGGGAGGGGGTTGGTAAATGTTTTTTCGAAGAGAACTTAACCAACGGAAGGTGTCCATCAAAACTGTTTTTGGGGAGGGAAAGGGGGAGAAGAGGCCTTATAGAAGGGAGGCGTGTAAGTCTTCCCAAATCATGGCCAGATATGATCGCCTCTTGCACCATAGCATCTGCTCGTAATCAAGACCATAGCTGTGAACTGATGTATAAAGGAAAAGGTAAAAAAAGCTGAAAAGTGTAACATAACAAGCAGATAAACAAAACAGCAAGAAAAACAAACAAAGAAACAAATCAAAACAAAAGATGAGCTATTCGGGGAATGCGCTTTTCTTAGGAAAAAAAATATGGACTGGACCATTCGACCCTTGGACAATTGGACTTTTTTTAAAGATTTTTTTGACCATTTTTGGACTAATATTTGGACCATTTTTTGGGTTATTTTATTGACTATCTGTGAGGGGGGGAGAGAGAGGAAGGAAATCATTAGTATGAGGCAGACTTTTATCACTCAGGGAGGGGTGGGAGACGGACTATTAATTCGCATGGAGGGGTGGGAGGTGGTTGTAGTAGCAACTGCTTCTTATTGATGGAGTTTTTACCGGATCATACAAGCAGTTTATTAGATTTCGTAAAAAAGGCTGTGGTTATTCATCGTGGTGAATAACAATAAAAGCTAACTTTTCGTTTTGTCTCACGATGTAGTCACGTGTGATGTAGATCGCGACGTTTCGACTGCATACTGCAGTCTAATTTATTAGATTTTTTTTTATATCAAGATTTGTACGCTGGGCTTTCCCGTTTCTTTGGTTTTTGTCATGCGAATGCTAAACAGCATCTAATGGACTATAATTGTCAGTGAAAATATCGCCAATTCCTTTTTTTGATCCTCCTTTGTTGAGTTACACACGTGCCTTTAAAGTAGACTTGTTCTAGTTCTAAATGATACTTACCGATTGACACGAATTATCCGCCACTTACTTCACGTTTCCCTTTGGGTATAAAGTATATACAATTTTTCTATCTTCTTTTGTCATTAATCCTATCAGACGAACAAGATCCGTCGGTTAAAAAGATGAAACGTACGGACCACGTGCAAAGGTGTCAACTGTTTCTTGAATATTGCGCATCTTAAATATTCAATAGTGACATCTCATTTACATCTTCATCAACATTTATTTAGCTGGTAAATTCTCTACAGTCATCCCACCAGCCAACTCGCGCGCGAAGTGAGAAGACTATATGAAGGCTTTAAATTATATTAAGAACGATTGTGGTCAAGAAACGGGCAAGGAATATTCCACAACAGTGTGAATAATCTTGAAAGATGATCGTGGAAAAGCGATTGCGTGACGCTCGGTAAACTGTAAGATGACATCTTATCGCGTATCAGACGAGAAAAACAATATAAATTCTCTGTCTGCATTTAGTACCCAGTCTGCAGTCTGCAGTCTGCATTTTGTACCTAGTCTGCATTTTGTACCCGGTCTGCAGTCTGCAGTTTACTGACCGGATTAGTATTGCTGTTTTTGTTCGAGGGAGACTCTAGTCCGGACCGAAATATTGGAGTTCGAAAAAAATAAAAGAAACTATCTTGGCCACTATGATTGATGTGTGGACTGTATGTTGAAGAGCTCCTGAGGACAAGCACAATGATTGAACAATGGTCACTTTAAACCAAGTGAAGACCAACGCAAATGCGCGGCTTACCAATATTGCTGTCCCCGATGCTACTTTGCGTGGTCACAGCGTGTGTTAAAATGAACCCACTAGGGTCCTCTGGGTGTGAACATTTCGGCTTCTCGATTCAAGTTGCATTTTTAGAAGTTCGGAAATGTGATTTGAGGTTATCATTTTTATTAAATCATAAAAAAGTTTTATTTCTTTCTATCACTGTTATTCATAGGATATGGGTAAGTTTCATTGATTTTACGCGAAAAATGTTCCTATTTCGAAATATTTATCGTTGTAATTCGACCATATTTCGCTCCCCATACTATTCCTCATAACGTGTTCAAATTTTCAACGGTTTCTCTTGTAACTTAACACCGAGTCACACAACGCGTGACGCGTTTATGAATTAATCGTTGGCTTTTTCTCGAGACGTGAGCTTGGGCTGCCTGTGCACGCACGCACTGTTTGCAAATCCAAGTGAGATTATAACCATGCGGTTTTGAGCAATGGTTCAAAGTTGCTCCATAAGATCGCTGTATCCATAGGCGGCCCAAGCTCACGTCTCGTGAAAAAGCCAGCGGTTAATTCATAAACGCGTCACGCGTTGTGTGACTCGGTGTTACGAGAGGAACTGTTGAAAATTTGAACACGTTATAAGGAATAGTATAGGGAACGAAATATGGTCGATTTACAACGATAAATATTTCGAAATATGAATATTTTACATGTAAAATCAATGACACTTACTCACATCCTGTGTGTCCGTTGTAGTTTCTGGCGATTTCTGCCGTTTTAAGCTTGCTTTACCATCACTGTTATTCCTGTCATTGGCTTCTTCTCGAGACGTGAGCTTGGGCCGCCTGTGCTGTATCACGTATTCCGACTTTTTCAATCTCTGGTCTCTGCCAGTTGTCAAATTGTCACAATAGATGTATCTCTTATTTCTATACTATTGTTGGAGAACCAAATCGATCTAACAATAAGTCATTGAATGTCAGCATAAGGTCTTGTATCAGTGGAAATTCGATCGATTTAGTTTTTGAACTGGAGCTTTTCAGGTTCTCGAAACTTCGAGAACATAACTGATTAAAGGCGAAGCAATTCTCTTTCCAATTTTGGTTTTTCCGGTTTTGAGCAAGAAAAGTCGAAAAAAAAAACAAAAAGGCATTTCTTATCTTTGAACCTAATTTGCGTCTAGTGCAAAACATGAAGCAATATCGCCATTTTCGGCGACATTAGGAGTAAAAATCTGGCGGTAAAAAATATCGCCATGAGTTACGAACTCCATCACCGAATAGTGCGAACCATTACACAGACTGGATTCCTTTCACAAGAACACTTAACGCCACTTTCTTCTAAACAGACAAATTACCCGTAACAGTAATGAGTACGCTTAAGTTTAGTTTCGCTTCTCTGACAGCCAATACACAAGAGGTTCCTCACATCGCTTATACTTTGCACTTTTTCCATTACAGAGAAGCCTGCTGTAACATCTTTGTTTTTACAAATCATCCTACGCTTAAAAGCGTAATGCGGACAAGGCCGAGATGAATGACTTACCAAGTTGATTCTCTCAGCTTCGAAAGACTCTACTCTTTCCTGCTGTCCCGGCATCTTAAATCATTCCAGTAACATTAGTCTACTCCGCTTTTCCCCTTCTCACAAAGGATGGCAACATATTCGATTATAGAGCACCTTGCTGCGGGGTCTTGATCGAGATGAACTACGGTCTCATAGATCGATCGTGTCGCTCTCAACCTCGGGTACAGGGTCATTTTGGCTCTTTGACAGCGGTATGGTCGCCAAATAATGACCTTTGGGAGAATAGATTAAGTACCTTCCCCCGATAGAGTTTCATTTAAAATGAAAATATTTACCAATATGAAGAGAGTTACATTCTGTTTTAAATGCTAAATTAACCCTTCAATTCCCATGAGTTACCAAGACAGAATTTCTCCTTACAATATCAGTACAATATCAATCAGACAAGTGATGAGCCCCCCCCCCTCAATTGAGGAGCTTTGGCCCCGAAAAAAATTCGCAGCGTGCATTCTACGGTGGCGCTACATTTCTGTCATCAGTGTCGAGAATTACATCAACGTTTGCGGTCGGTAGGTGTCTATGCGGTTACTTAAACGTGTTGATTATAAGTTAAGGGTTTACCTAATAGTTAATACTGCATCTATGCTCGAATTTCAATCACGAAAACACAAGAAATCTGGCATCGAAATCACTTGGCGCGATCTTATCATGGAGGCTGAAGTCTTCGATCGATCGGCTGAGCTTTCTATAGTTACGGGATCCAATCTCGACCCCAAAAAGTCCTGGTATGTGCTAACGAAAAGTTAATGTGAAATCAGGCCGAAAGCTTTTGCAAAGAACGAATTGTTTCGTCGATTCCGCGATGACTACAATACGTTCTGTCCCGCCAGCAGGTCTCAAGCGCGCCCACAAAGGCTGTTCGTTCAACGCCAGGTAACCAAACAATATGCATTTTATATCTTCAAGTGGTCTCCGTGCCGGACTAATTAGACAGGGAGAAATCCAGCAGATGGATTCGCGAGGTCTCAAAACATAATCTTGTTGTTGATGCGGTAAATCAAATCGCCCTCGACCGTACACTTTAGGCGGGAAATGCCTCCAGTAGAAATATCATGGGAAATTGCAATAATGTCAGTCAAGAATAGCCGAGCTGGACAAAGACATTCGGGAACCAGTAAAGGATAGTAATTATATAAGTTAATGGTGGATGCCTCAACTTTCAGTCAAAAGAAAGAGTCCAGACAAAGAGCGGTCTCCTGATATAAATTAGTGTGAATTAAATTTTTCGTGCCCTCTTGGATAGTGTATACCTGAGGATTACCTTTAATCTCTTACATACCCTCTTGGGTAGTGTATACCTGAGGGTTATTTTGATCTCTTGCATACCCTCTTGGGTAGTGTAT